TATTCCATGCATTAGCCAAGTTTCAACAATATGAAACTCTTATATAATAACCAGATGCATGCTTATAAGATGAGAGAATCATAAAAAAACCTCATTCGTACTAATATATCTACCATGGAGCCTAATAAAAAATAAAATTAATCATATATTATAAAAATACAATGCAACAAATTATTCAAAATAACTCCTCCCCCGCCTACTGATATATTACGTAGAATCAACATTATATATCAATTCAAATGTCCCTTGACAGAATGTATTTCCGACAGAAAAAAAAAACAAATATATATGTTGGATATACGACAACTACATTATCAAGACGTCTTACTCAATACATGTCTGATCATTCGTCCATTGCGAGACATTTACACCAACATTCCTGTCCACAATTACAGTATAAAAAATATATAATATATAAAATATATATATAAAATACACCACTAAAATAAATTATAACTACAGATCTGCATTAAAAACTTGAAGCCAACACTGAATAGAATCAGCTACGAATACTATAATAATGTTCTAAAATGCTTATAAAAAAGCACAGTTTTTGTGCTTTAATGCGCGCTTGAACATGACATTCCAACATAAAAAAAAATTCAATAATGCATAATTTTTCACGTTCTAATGAACGCTAAAGCAAGACTATCAGCCATTGTATTTAAAAGCAAAAAGAAAAATATCAGTAATGGATCGCTACAAATGGGGTTTTTTGCCTTACCGGTTGCACCCTGAAAGAGATAGAAAGTACTTGGGAAATAAAAGTGATTTTCACTGCTACAGATTATTTCTTGCATCACTTGATTCTAATACACAAAAAAAATGTTCATGAATATGAAAGGATTATGCTAAAAATAAGAAAAAAAATTCGACTTTGTCATAGTTTTTCCTTAAATATATATAACTTGATATGTAATATTTATATATTGCTTTCCATATATTCGCGAGCCCACGCACACACAGACACACACACACACACACACACACACACACACACACACACACACACAAACATATATATATATATATATATATATATATATATATATATAAGTGTCAGCCATAGCATTTAAACGCAAAAGGAAATCATTCAGTAATGGATAGCTACACATAGTTTTTGCCTTACCAATTTCTCCTTTTAAGAGTATTTGGGAAATAAAATTGATTCACATTGTTACAATGCATTTCTTGCCTTATTTAATTGTAATATATAGAAAACAATCGTGAATATGAAAGAATTATGATAAAAATCAACAGACGTAAGGTTTGTAATTTATTCAATCAGACATACTTAAGAGAGAATTTGCAGCCTACACACACACACACACACACACACACACACACACACACATATATATATATATATATATATATATATATATATTAGTAATGTATGTCGGCACGTATCCGTGTAAGCTTGTCTGTTAGGTCGGCAAGATAATTCCTATTGCAGACGCATGATCAGGCAAATCTATGCTGTGCTTTATACTACAACTATGCTGGGAGAGCATTTGGGAAACTTTCTGGGAGAAAGTGCATTAGCTGGTGGGAACCAACAGTCTGAACGAGGCCAATACGCTCAAACCCTTAGTCAAGATAGCTTGCGACTTCGTGCTAGCTCAACCATCGACTCGCACGACCAGTTCTCTCTACCCTATTTCTCTCATAAGGCTTGGGTCAACTCGTGGTAAAGTTTTCAGGTTCTTTCCAAAGGTGCCACATAACATCAAGTAGTTGACAAATCGACCATAGTGAGATTCGAACCCGGGTTTCGGAAAAAGGAACCTTCTAAAACTCGGCCACGAGTCAATATATATATATATATATATATATATATATATATATATATATATATATATATATATATATATATATATATATATATATATATATATATATAGCAAGTGTAAATGGATATAATCTGACAGAATGAAGAAAATTTTGAAAAAACAAACAAAAATTCTTAGATGTAGTTAAAATCATTTTAACTACATCTAAGGATTTTTGTTTGTTTTTTCAAAATTTTTCTTATATATATATATATATATATATATATATATATATATATTGATTTTCTATACGCGGCTTAGATGTGGCACAAGGCTGTAAATATGAGACACCCAGTGAGGATCGAACTCGCTACTCACTACTCAGTCGTAATTGATCTAGTAAGTCAATCTTTCTAACCATCACATCACGTCGAGCTGCCCCCGTGTCCATATATATATATATATATATATATATATATATATAACGTATGAAAGCACGTGCGATACCCTGCCTTCGTAAACCATCAATCAGGGGAGGTAACACAGTTTCGGTCACTAAGACGTTATTACCAGCAGCTTTTGTCATTGGACAGGTATTGTATATTGGTTAGACGTGTCAGTCTTTGGCGATTTTTTACAGCTGCAAGCCAAATTTTCAATGTTGTGCTAAAAGCGTTTGCTTTCGATCGTTAAACAAAGCCCAACGTGCTCGTAGAGGCCGTTATCAATGACGTAGAATGGAATGTAAACAGATGTGTTTCATGTCGGAAGTAGGCATTGTGTGGCGACCTTGGTTTTAATTAACTTTGTTTATTTTGGATATTGACCAGATCTAATCTCGTCTTCGTTTGAGCAGTGGTCAGGAGACGATGTAAAGCACGCTTTAGGTTCCGGCCAGTAATACCCGCCTTCAAAAGGAAGAAAACAATTGACCGCGGCACTGGACCTCAACATGTAGCACTTACATGCCTATCCGTTTTCCACGCAGCCGAAGAAGTTTTTCTTTCGCTCATGCGCCTCCTCCATGTTCTCCTCCCGTGGAACCGTTAATTATATTAGGAGGACACACTTCTTTGAATCAGATCACGCTGCAATGTCAGGGCTGCGTCTGTCTGAATAATGTGTACCGGAATTTGCAGATGTTTTTTTTATGATCAAATAGCACCGTCCAATCACTGGCTCCATTCAGTAATGACATGTTGGGTGTCATTTGGGGCTTCCGCATAGGGCGTTCACCTTCTTTGTTAAAAAAGATCTTAGGTTTAAGGTTTTTTTGTTGCCTGCTTCACACTATGTGCTGACTAAGTCAATGACCCCTTCCAGCACTATATCTGCAGTGATTGTCGGCATGCAGAGAACACGTGTAGTAAATCGCCTCGATCACTTTGATCTAATGCGCATACATCGGTGTCAGTGTACCCCACAGCTTCAGGTTGATCGCATTTGATAGGAGATATAGGTAGATCGCAGGAGGAATGACATTGTCAATGGTTCCACTGCAGTCAAGGTATTCCATGAAAGCTTCGTCGGATCCGTATCACTCCATGTATTCCAAGTACATTATTTGGATTTCGAAACAGCGGTAGGTGTTAGCTGCTCTTTCTCGAAATTTCTTTCTTCAATCACATATTTCGCATTTCCTTCGGACTCTAATTGAAAAAACAATTGGTTCCAAGGCTAGCTCGTTTGGTGTGGGTCACCCCAATAATCTCCTCGGTTTGCAGGCTGGATTCTACTTTTTAGGTAGCTTTTACTGCCGGCCATTTGGCTGTAACCTGCGGAGGAACTCATCGGCGGAGTCCCTCATCTTCATGTAAAAGCGTAACTGCCCGATATCGACCTCCTCTATCAATGAGAAGTTGAAGGTTTCCAGCATTGGTATAGAGTCCCACTGTGGAGAAACAGGGGAAGGACTCCAAGCCACTTGTGCAGGTACTTACTAATATATATATATACATTGCTTGTCTCTTCTTTAAAGAAGAAGACCATCTCTTAACGTGGCTTTTTTTTGTTATTCATTAAGAATTGTATTATTTTCATCATTTATACCGGATTTAATGCTCTGCTTTGAGCCCGTAAAAGTCGTAAGGCCAAGTTCACTTTCAAAACCTCTCTTCCACACGTGCCAAATATAAATTTTACCTTTGTTAGAAAATTGTCTGTCCCTGTGCACGATCATGCGATGTTTGAGTTCTGCAACAGAACTAAAAACCATGCCAAAATACTCGCAATAGTAAACTACAGGGCTTTCTGGTAGGTTTGCGTTTACAGGAATTTGCACTTGGCCTGTCCGGTAAGATCTCACATGCCTGGCTAAACCAGCCGCCGAAATAATGACTTTTCTGCAAATACTGCAAGTTCGTTGATGTTCTAATACCTCTGGGACAGATTCTATTTCTTCCTTCCGAATGGCGTTATTTTGTTAGAATGATCAATTTTCTTCTGCCCAAAATTATTGCAGCGTTCCCAAATCAACCTTCTCCATCCAGATCTATCTCCAGCAACAGTTCCCAATCTCCATCCTTAACATTATCATTATATATATATATATATATATATATATATATATATATATATATATACAGTTCAAAAGTATGAGGTGACCTCAAGAATTAACATGGGATGAATTTGACTGAAGAATGAAAAAAATGAAAAGTGCTCTTTGAATCATTGAAAAAAAAGAATGGGATCAATTATCAGACTTATACTCTGAGAAACATTTGCAACGAATGCCAAGATTTATGCTGCAGTAATCAAGGCTAAAGGAGGATATTATGACGAGAGCAAAATTTAATCATAAAAATGCTTTCGTCTTTTTTGTCATAATGAAATTTGTAATAAAAAAAGATCATGTTTCACTTTTTAACCATGTATAATAATTTTCTCATTTAAAGTAAAAAACAACTACGTCTGGTGCCAATTTAAAAATTTCCAGCGGTGGCCTCAAACTTTTGAACTGTAGTATATATATATATATATATATATATATATATATATATATATATATATATATGTGTGTGTGTGTGTGTGTGTGTGTGTGTGTATATATATATATATATATATATATATATATATATATATATATATATAAGTAAATGGTAAGTAGGTTAATGCACTCAAGATATCAGCCCAGAAAGCTATAAATTAATTATCATTTTTTACATTCGTTCGGTTGAAGAGAAATTACTTTCTATTAACTTATTTCATTTTTGAGTTTCCTAAAAATATTTTTGTTTGAAGAAAAATGATTAGTGACGATTGATATTTTAAACAGTCTACCCTTTCGTTTTGATGATGTTTGAAGCGGACTCAACATTGAGCTCTGGGTGTCAGTCAATCGATTCTTTCGTCGAGTATCGACTTACCCAGTAATGGCGGAAAACAAAACAAAATAAGACAGCTAGTCTCGTTCGTTTTGTTTAAAAACTTTTTTCCATAATTTCCTTATAGACTCACATAAGTCTCTCTTTCTCTTTCTGAGCAACAATATAATTCTTAACTCTTTCTATCCGTTTTTCTCTTTCAGTTATTTTTTCAACGATTCAAAAAAGTTTTTCTCTATCAATCATTGTGCCTGCGTACGTAGATATCATTTCTTTATCAATATAGTCTCTCAAAGATGGCTGCATCAAAAGTCAGAGAAGTTACGAAGGAAACAAATATTTACAATTCTTGAGGACTTTCAAAAATCCCATATATCGAAGTGAAAAAATAAAAATGAGTGCATATTATTTTACAAACAGGCGTAAGTATCTATTCAAACCCACACAGGCACACGCAGATATTTGTTGGTGGTCATCACCACTGTGTAGCGTTGTGCCTTCAACCATTACCTGGTTAGGTTTAAGATGTTGCTACTTCCGTGACAGCTGTGGCTCGATTTCGAAAAAGTGGCGTGATCACAAACTGATCGGCTTGGTTAGAAATCAAGGATGATGAAATGGAGATGAATACTGATTCATTTACTTGCTTTCGACAACGAAACGGAACGGTTACAACTGTATTCCAAAATGGGGAAAGCAAATAGGATTTCCGCCTCGTAGACGCCTAGCTGACAAAATGGTTCTTCTTTTATGAAGCTTATATATATAAAATAATTTGACTTTCATCTGTCCGTCAATCACACCATCTAAGATAGCTATACATTGTGTTATGGAGTGATTTCACAGTGGAGGCTTGTATTTGTACTAAGTCGGTCCTAAAATAGGTTCGACGTACAAAACGTTAGGAACTTGATATAATAGGTATAACGCAGAGTAATCTAGTTGTGGTCGCTGATACTTTAGTATTCAACTAACTGTCGTCCGGCATCGACTCACTGACCAACTCCCTGAGCGACTCCTCGTTACTATTACTACTCCTACTTATTATAGGTGGGAGAGTCTATTAACTGAAGAATAGGTGTGTTCCACTATAACACATTGGCAGATCGAAATCAAAGTTTCGCGAGAAATGCAAACGGGTAAGTACGGTTTGTTGTACTAAGGTGCATAGCTTGCTACATAAATATTCATTAATTTTTGGAGAAAAATTAGAAGATTTACTCAAACATTTATTGAAACATTTTCATCAAAACAAAATGTCACTCTAAGCTCATGCTATTTTCGATTTAGTATATAGGAAATACTGGAAGTGAAGAGAGTGGTTTGTGCATTGTAAATGTCATGATGACATTATCATATAGAAAATGCATTTTTTAAAACATGAAGCTTTCTTTAACCTTTGCAATGCAGTTGAAATCAAAATCTGTTGATTCATAACGTATTACGCATGAATCCCAGTGATTTTTACAGTTACAATCTATATATACAATTTTGTGACTTCTGTTCGTCACACCTAATAAAATAGACATACATTGATCGATTGAAACCAAATTTTGGGGAGAAGTGAAAACAGATAAGTGGGTACAAAGTAAAGCTGCTCTTACTAAGCTGAGTAGCTTAGTACAAGAAATTTTGTGTGTATCTTTTCTTTAAGCTTAATATACAATAATCCAATTTCCAATGTCCAATTTGCCCTGCGCTTGAGAGAACTATAAAGAAATCACAAGGACAATCCCTGTAAAATGGTATAATTTGGCTCCAGAAAGAAATATTTACGCATGGTCAGTTGTATGTTGCATGCACAAGAGTAAGAAATTTGGCTGCTAAAAAGAAAAATAGAAATTTCCTTTAAAACATTGTTTACTATGAAGTCTTATAAAATAAAATTAAGTTAAAGAAATTACTGAACAGCAGTGTAAGTTTTTTGTCAAAGTATTTTTCTAAAAATATCAGCTTGTTTATATTTCATTGATTGGTTTTAAAATTGAACAAAACGTTGAGTTTGTAAATCTCGACATAAAACTTCAGCGACAAGTTCTAGTGTATAAAATAGGAAAACATATTTATATCGAAACTTCGATGATAATGATACGCTCAGAATTGAGACTTAAAATTTTAAACCTAGCCGCTCTCCTTCAGGATTGTATTGATTTTATTTTTATCTTTATTGTTTTTAAATAACCCAATTTGTATTAGTATCTATTTTAGGAGGAAAGGACATATGTTGGACGTAAATTTACCCTTTATGTTTCACATATTAATGCACGTTCAATACATTTTCGAAATCTGTTTCTCCTTTAATCAGAACCGAATTCTTCAAGTCAAAAGTACAGTGCTGTTCGATAAAAGTGACTCACCTTATCCTTTGAATTTAGCTCAACTTTCGTTTCATCAGAGAAGAGAACATTCTTCCAGTCTTCTACGGTGAAATTTTTGTAATAGTGAGCTCATTCAAGTCTCTTGGCTTTGTTGGCTTTGCTTATTAGCAGCTTAAGCCTTCGTGTACAAGATTTGTAGCCTTATTCTAACAAGATTTGTGTTATACCGGAACATACCTATTCTATTATTAATAGACTCTCCCACAGATAATAGGTAGTTATAGTAGCAGTCGCCAGGGGGCTCAGTGGAGTTGAGTGAGTCAGTCGATGTCGGACATTAAAGTATCAACCATCACAACTAGATTGCTGCGTCATTAACTATTATTTCAAGTTCCGAACGTTTTTGTACGTCGGACCTATTTTAGGACCGACTTAGTGAAATACAAGCCTCCACTGTGAAAACTACTCTACAACAATTTGTAACCTTGTTCTGACGGACTGTTGAAGAGGCACTTCGCTTAGACTAGCTGCAATTTCTTGGCTAGTTGTAGTCCTATTCTTCGCAACTTCTCTCTTGATTACCCTGACAGTTCTATCATCAATCTTTTTCTTTCGTCCCCTTGTTTCCTTCCTTGGAGCAGGCGTGGCATCATTATGTGCCCTAAGCACTCGAGAGAAAGTAGATTGGGAGTTTATAGCAATTTTGAGAAGGCTATAATAGATACATTGAGTGGTTCTGATGCGTTTTTGTACCCTTTCATCTGGTTAGTCACTTGAGTGGCCATTTCAAGCTGTTTTTATACTGTATGAGGTTTTCTGGAATATTCTGGAAAACTCTAGATTTAATTTAAGCTGTTCAAGTATGCTCTAGAATATTGTTCTGAGTATATTGTAAAATAGTTTTCAATATTTTGTCAAAAGCTCTTTAAATTTACCAGTTTAATCATTAGAATGCGATATCTGAGTCACTTTTTTTGCACAGAGTTTTTTTCCTGAATCTCATTTATATCCAAATTTATAATTATCAATAGAATACCTTAGGGTCAATAAACTTTTTTTCCTACGTGGTCGGGAAGGGTTCTTTATATTAGTAAGATTAAAAATTATTTTAACCCCCAAAACAATACACAAATATTTTTAGTAAAAAAAAAAAAATCAGGTGAGTCACTTTTATCGAACAGCACTGTATATCCAGAACAGAACTTGCTGTGAATATTGCTGCGACATTTGCCATATATTTATTGCATGAAATTGCACCAAGCGTAGAGTTTGTAAATCTCGTCTAAAATGTTAACAAAAATATTCTAGTGAAGTAAAAAATCAGTTCTAATCCTACACACGTCTCAAACTAAAATATTTTAGATGAAATTGATAAAAGGTAGATAAGTGTTACCCTCAAATACTTCTAGTTGCCATGCCCCTATTAAAGGATTATTCTTCCACACTCATTTAATGAGCATCATCGTATATAGCTACGCAAACTACTTGAATAGTTGTCTCTCAGCCTGTGCATCATGAATTGATAAGCGCATGCATACACATGTTCCCACATGATCGCCCGAGTGGGTAAACTGTTAGGTCTCAAACGGCAATGAAACCCAGCTTCAAGCGGCACTGTGGAGAAGTGGTTGAAAATTATTCCACTTGTTGATCCAAGTCCTGTGAATAAAATTGCCTACAACCATCGAAGGCGTCCAGTATAAACTGGACGCCTCGAGGGTTATACTAACACGGCTGATTATCCGCTCTCCCTTAAATACCATTACTAAGGTTCACTCTACTATACGAGTTCTGATCAAAAAGTGCTATAAAAAAGAAAGCTACATCACATATCAATTCGGCATTTAATCTCCTTCGAAATAGTTCCCTTCGGAAATCACACATTTTATTATCCAGTGTCTTTTCCATTGAAGGATGAAGAAGCACAAATGGCACCGAAAAGATGACTGCAAGCCTGATTTTTTCCAAATAGGTAATTTCAGCCAGTCTGAGTTGAACTGCTATGTTGTATATACAGAGAAAACAAAACCTATTACATCCACTGACAACCTTGACTACAGACAATTCGAATATCTAGAGAGACAAAATAATTTAAACACACATAGGCACATACATACTCAAATATATATTTATTATTTGAAATGTTATAGTGAATACTTGTATTGAAATAGATGCTACATTTTTATTTATTTTAAACATTGTGTATTACTTGAGGAAAGCACACTTTCTAATTCTGACGTTTTAATCCAAAGCCCATATTTACACAGTTTCGTATCCAAAACTTAAACAAAGCAATTTATAAAGAATTTATGTACGCCTGATCAAAAAGTGGTTTCGCCTACAATGTGGGGACGCACGTTCAATCCCTGTCGGAAAGTACGTTTTCTTTATTAACATTTCTCGTTCAGTACACATTGATTAAAACTCATCAAGGTCGCACAATACGGGACTTCACAGAAGTACTCCACATATCTCATATATATCGATATAAAAAAATTGCAAGATTTGCGTACGGATGTTGTGACGTTGTTTCGGTGCTTGATGATGTAACGGGAGAAAATAAATGCACTGCATTTCTCTTTGCTGATTGTTTGTTCAAACACAGCAAAAACAACCCATTTTTGTAAAGAAGAACCGCAGGCGATGAAAATAGATTGTTTACAACAATGTGGAGTGGAAAGATAATTCTCAAATCCGGTCTGAATGTGATGCTGTGTATCTGGTGTGACTAGAAAGTCATTGTATATTACGGGCTTCTTCCGCAAAATCAGACGTTAAATTCAGACAAATATTGTCCCCAACAAGACAGATTAAAACAGAAATCGATGAAAATTATCCTGAATTAAGCAACCGGAAAATTATCCTTTTCTAGCAGGGCATCCTCAGACATTATGCCTTTTTACAGACCTGGCTGAAATTGGTTAATATAGGCTTGAATCTTCTACTTATTACTATACCTACAAAATTCTCTTAATGGGATTCAGTTCTCTGGAATTTACCTAGACATTTTCATCACTCTGAAAGACACCAAGTTTGGGGAGGATGAAATTATAAAGCTTCCCCAAT